CTGTGGTAAATCTGCCGCTTGGAATGTAGTAAAAGAGTACCGTAATAAGGGCGGGTGGGAGGGGCAAAAAAAAAAAAGCATTTTGGACGTCCAAGTTCTCTTACCTTCAAAGATCGTAAAGCTCTGAAGGAGTTGGTCACTAATGGAAACCGCCGCTTGTCTCTCTCTCAGATCACCCACCTTTTTTCTACAAAAAAAAAAAAAAATTTTCAGAAAGTACTATTCGTCGTACCTTGCACAGTGAAAACTTAAGGTCTTATATTGCTCAGAAAAAGCCGCTTGTTTCCCTTACCAATAAAAAAAAAAGACTGGCTTGGGCCTGTGCCCATGAAGGTTGGACTGTTCGAAGGTTTAAGAGAATCTTGTGGTCAGACGAGACCACAATTCGTGTTTTTTAGGCTTCTTCTTGTCAGGTCTGACGTGAAAAAAATGAAAAATGGGATAAGGAGTGCTTAAGCTGTACTGTTAAGCGTTGTTCTGGCCGTATGTACTGGGGATGTTTTTTGTGGCATGGGGTCGGGCCCCTTGTTTCTCTGCCTTCCTCTGCTACTGGAGTGTCTCACGTTGAAAAGTACATTGTGCCGTATTTAGAAAAGTATCCAGGAAATACGGATCGTGGTTGTCCCATCCTCCAACAAGATAATGCAAGGCCCCACACTGCAAAAGTGGTAAAGAAATTCATTAGTGAAAATAGGGTCCGGACAATGGATTGGCCTCCCTAGAGTCCGGACTTAAACCCGATTGAGAATCTTTGGTCTGAGGTCAAACAATCCGTGCGTCGCAAACCCAAACCAAGCAATCTTGAGGAACTAGATATTCTGGTGCAAGAGGCATGGTATGACATACCACCTGAGCTGTGCTGTAAGCTCATTGAAAGTATGCCAGATCGTGTCGCCACCTGTCTTGAAGCCAAAGGGGGTCCTACGAAATACTAAAATGTATTTAGTATAAATTTTTTTTTTAGTAAAAAAAAAAAAGAAAAAAAAAAAAAATGCATTTTTCGGTTTAATAAAATAAACTACGTTGGTAGTTTTTATCATATAACTTTTGCGTATCTAAATGAAATTACTTGAAATCTTAATGTGCTGCGCCCTGAGATTTGATAAACATGTGACAAAAAATTTGTACCGCATTTACTTACCCGATTCCGAGTTATTGAGCGCGAAAAAGTGTCCACAATAATATGGTAGGTAGCTGTATCATTAGTAGAATGATCGTCAGTGTCTGTAAATGGTTTAAATTGTTGAATTAATACAATCTGCGACTTGTTCAATTAATGCGAAATTCAATCATATGGGGTCTTTGCCTTGAAAATGACCTTACGGTATCATGTACCGTAAGGTCATTTTCAAGGCAAAGACCCATATGCATATTTTTGGTTATTGACCAATCACGACAAAGTTATCCTAAATACATAAATGGACCTTCCGACTGCCAGCCGGCCGGAGTACATTGTTGTCAATCAATTAAAAAAGTTAATATCATAATAATTAGGCTAAATCAGATATGAATAAACGCATAGAAGAATAAATGAGCAAATAGCAAATAATCATTATCATGTATGTATCACAGATTGATACCGTTACGCAGTGAAAAGGTCGTAATAATAATCGGCAGGGCTGATTTTTGAGTGTTTCAGGGTCCATTTTTTTCGGTAAGAATAATAATGCATGTAGGTAGATCTTATTGAAGATAAGATATTGTTTGAAAATTAATGGGTTACGTATGTTCATGCTATATTTACATAATTGTACAGCTACATAGAATATTGAGAAACCAATTAATTCTTTTGTGAAGTGAACTTATTATTTAAAGTGTTAGAACAAAACAAAAAACAAACCGTGGTTATATTAGAAAAGATTATTCGTTCATTCTAAAATCTCATCAGCATACAGTGTTGAATACGTTGGAAATATTAGTATTTAAAGGAAAAATAATGTGACATGGGCTGATTTAAAATTTTGCCCTTAAACTTATAGTTACTTTAACACTAGACAAATATCTCGCTATTTTAACACTTAATTTGGACGGACCTCACTTGTTATGTATAAAGATTTACCAAAAGGCTAACCATTTTATCGCTATCGTATCGCTATGATATGCCATTGTGTAAAACTATAATACTGTATCGATATGAGATATGCAACAAAAATGATCGACACTTATTGTGTACCAGGTGCATCAGATAAAGATAACTTCGAAAATCAAACAAAATTTAATCAATTTGATCAGATTTAATTCCAAGTTAAATATAGAAAACAGGGAATTGTTCTTAATTCGAATTAGAAATGTTAGAAGACTCGATCTACGGATAAGCTAAAATTCAGAATTCATTGGTGAATAAAATCAAATGAAGTATTGATAGTATTGATACAACAAAGAGATAATTGCGAAGTGTCTTCTCATACATATGATCGTGTAACAGATAATGTACCGCTTATAGTTACGTGATTAAAACGTGATGTCTATTAAAAACCTTAAAACTTTTTATTTATCAAACAACTAAATCAGGAAAATTTTTTTGCATATTTCAGTATTTAACGTTAGATCGAAAATTCAAATTAACCAAAAAAATTCTACAGTATTTTCGAAATTCTATTCGTACATCCATCCAATTGTATAAGAACAAAATTTGCCTAGCGTATGACAAGTTTCGTTATATCAATACGGACTATAGCCGATAAATAAATTTAGATTTGGTAAATTCATAATAAGACTGCATTACAAAAGATCTAGCTAAACATAGAGCATTATTATGACTATTTTTCTAATTAGTTAAGCCCAGTCATCTAATATTACTACGTATGCATAATTATTAATCAACAATGAGACTTACACTTACAGATTCGAATTATCATTTTGTTTTTATGCTATTTGGATTAATAATTCTTTATTATAACAATAAGCGTTCGTAAGTGCGCACGAAAAGTTTTATGCATAACATCATTGAACTATCTCGAAGTGCGACATTATTTATATGCTAATCGACATTGTTTGACATGTCTCCACATCTGCTGACACGTTAGTACGCCAATTTGCCAATTTGCCAAGACATGTCAATGCGTGATCGCATCATAATACAGATCATTTTACGTATTATTGTTTATGTAATACAGTTTGCACATAATTGAATTTGGCGTATCTTAATCTACAGTAAATTCTTAAAATTTATAGGCTGGCTTATGTTTAATTCTGGTCGGAATTAAGTTTAAAAAAAACCTCCGAAAACTAACCGCAATATAATTTATAATTTAATTTATTGTAGCATACTATGGTATATTATTGGACCTCCGAAAAATAACCGCAATATAATTTATATTTTAATTTATTGTAGCATAATATGGAATATTATTATGGAATATTATTGGATTAATTCTAAACTTTACTTCCTACACACAGCCCAACTCCAATGACTACGAAAACTATTCCAATCCATGTTTCTAATAAAGAATAAGTAAAATAAGTTAAGTTTAATCAATTACCAGATGAATTTATGATGATTATTAAGATAGATACCTTTGGTTCCAGTTTGCTCACCGAGTAAGCTAGCGGCTAAGGCTGTAAATATAAACGTTAAAGAGTTTGTAATAGGAACTGCCAAAGACAAATCTTTAACATATTCATAATCATTTAGTCAATGTTTATTTAATCTTTTCTTTTAAAAAAAAAATTAATATAAAATATAAAATATTTACCGGCTTGTCCAAGTGTGTAATAATAAACTATTGATCCACTTAAATTAATCAATAGTGGTATAATATACTTTTTAAAATTTTAAATTAGTAATAATGATGGCAAAAATAACAGAAATACGATATAAATAAATATAATATATAATTACTTGTAATCTAGTTAAAAGGAACCAATATTCTGCAAGGATTTGTTTTAGCCAAAAGTCATGTTTGATATTTTCTAGTCCAATGCTACCTTTTTTGATAAACGGATTTGTGAATCCCCAACATATTGCAACTTGATAAAAAAAGAATTTTTTTTTTAATTTTTAATTAGCGATAAAAAAGCAATATTTTTTTGAAACCAATCACCAATCAAAAAAAATTTCCATTTATTGATACCTAAAAAAAATCCAAAAATATTTTCTTACAGAAAAAAAAAAATTTTTTTAAAAACAAATCTAACGATTATTACCGAAATGACGTAAAATGTAATATAGTTACTGATTAACAAATCACCATTGATTTCGTCCATTGATATTACGGATAAGTGCGTTTACCATATCAAATACAGTATCGGTATACCCGGAATTTATATACAAATTATATAAATAGCATTAATGATCGATCATTTCTATTATTGTACATATTGAAAAAGGGGAGATTGCAGATAAAATAGCCGATATTTACGCCTTATGTAACATCTCCTAAATTGGTTTGTACGTACCTAGTGATTTTCTATTATGCAGTATGTCGAGGACACACCGAGAAAGACAATATCACTATTAAAAATCTTTAAGGAATATCCCATATCCTTTATTGTCTTATGACGGAATGATCTTGGCCTTTATAATTCAAATTTTTTTATTTAAACAACTACAATTATGACTACAATTATGATTTTTTTGTCTTTTATTTTCATCTTTGAAAGTTTCAAAAGTTTGAAAGATGGAAAAGAAGCTCGACTTTAAACTTACAAAGGACGATTCGGAAAATGCTTCTACCTCTAGGATTAGACCTATAAACCTAGAAAGACGAAAATCTCAACTTAGTATTGAATATAGAACTCTTTCTATAAAACTTGAAGAATCTCGTACAAAAACTTTAGAAGAAAATGAAAAAGATCCTAGAATAAAAAAAGAACTTGAAATTGATTTTCATAAATTATCTCTTCATGAACTCGGTTTACGTTTCAACACTGATACTTCTTCAGGTCTTAATTTTGAAATCGCTACTCAAAGATTACACCGTACTGGAAAAAATATTATAAGTCCGCCTGATTCTAAATTATTTAAAAAAATTCTTTATTACTTTTTTGGTGGTTTTTGTCCTTTATTATGGTTTGCTTCTTTAATTTGTTTTCTTGCTTGGAAACCTCTTGGAAATCCTCCTGATAAAACAAATATGGGTCTTGCTATACTTCTCTTAATCGTTATCTTCCTTCAAGCTATTTTTAATGGTTATCAAGATTGGACTTCTAGTGCTGTAATGAAATCAATTAATAGTATGCTACCTTCTACTGCTACCGTAATACGTGATGGAAAATCTCAATCCGTTCCTCTATCAACTTTAGTTATAGGTGATTTGGTTTTATTAAAAATTGGTGCTAAAGTACCTGCTGATGTTCGTATAATAAATCAAGTTGATCTTAAATTTGATAAATCTGTCTTAACCGGTGAAAATAAACCCGTTAACGCTACCGTTGAAATGACTGATGATATTTACCTTGAATCTCGTAATATTGGTCTTATGGGTACTTTAATAACTAATGGTGAAGGTTTAGGCATTGTTGTAGCTACTGGTGATCGTACTGTTATGGGAAAGATTGCTGAATTATCTTCTTCTACTTCACAAGAAAGATCTATTTTACAAAAAGAAATTACTAGTTTCGTTATAATTATTACTTGTTTAGCTATTACTACTTCTGCTTTAACTCTTATTGTTTGGGCTACTTGGTTAAGAGTTGATTATCCTAATTTTATTGATTTATCTGGTGCTCTTGTAAATTCCATCGGTGTCCTTGTGGCTTATGTACCTGAAGGTCTTCCAATTGCTGTGACTTTAACTTTAACTTTAGTGGCTAGAAAAATGGCAAAACAAAAAGTTTTAGTAAAAAATTTAACTGTAGTTGAAACTTTAGGTTCGGTAAATGTAATTGCAAGTGATAAGACTGGTACTTTGACTCAAAATCGAATGTTTGTAGATATAGCTCATGTTGGTGATGAATCTTTTGATCTGGAAAAATCCCTTGAAGCTAAAAATTCAAAATCTTTAGGTTTTTATCAATTGGTTTCAGTTGGTCGGCTTTGTAATTCTGCTTCTTTTGATCCTAAAACTATAGAATTTCCTATTAATGAAAGGACTATTTTGGGTGATGGTACTGATTCGGCTATTCTTCGTTTTGTTACTGAATATGCTATTAATGATTTGGAGATTGAACAATTCGACAAAATTGCTGAAATACCTTTTAATTCAAAAAATAAGTGGATGTTACGTGTAATGAAACCCAAGGACAATAACAATGTATATAGGACTGATCGGCATATCTTGGTGATTAAAGGTGCTCCTGATGTGTTGCTTGGTAGTTGTACACGTATTCTCAATCCTGATGGTACTGAAAGACCACTTGATGATAATGCTCGAAAATCTTTAGTTGATACTCAATCTGAATGGAGTAGTACTGGTAAACGTGTCATCTTACTTTGTCGTCGTGTTATTACAAATGAAAGTGAAATTCCTTCGGATACTAGTGATTTGGAATTACTTGGTCAACTTTCTTATAATTTAACTGTCATTGGACTCATGGGTATTCTTGATCCACCACGACCTGAAATTCCTGATGTTATAAGGACTTGTCGTGGGGCTGGAATTAGAATCTTTATGGTTACTGGTGATTATTCTTTAACCGCTTCTTCTATAGCTAAACAAGTTGGTATCTTTTCTGATTCAGAGAATACCATACATACTATTAATGATCTTGAACAGTTATCTGAAAAATTAGAAATTGTTGAACATAAAGAACCAACAGAAGAAATTCCTAAAAAAGTAAAATCACTTTTGTTGACCGGTTCTGATTTAGCAACCTTGACCGAAAAACAATGGGATATAGTCATTACCTATGATGAAATTGTATTTGCTCGTACAACTCCTGAACAAAAATTACGGATAGTTCAAGAATTTCAAAACAGAGATTCAATCGTTGGTGTAACTGGTGATGGTGTTAATGATGCACCTGCATTGAAAGCAGCTAATATTGGTATTGCTATGGGAGGTGGAAGTGAAGTAGCAATAGAAGCAGCAGATATGGTACTTTTGGATAATAACTTTTCTTCAATAGTGGTTGCTCTAGAAAGTGGTCGCCTAGTCTTTGATAATTTGAAAAAAGTTATTTTATATTTATTACCTGCTGGATCTTGGTCCGAATTGCTTCCTGTACTTGTTAATGTATTTTTAGGTGTTCCATTACCTTTATCAACATTTTTAATGATATCGATTTGTGTGTTAACCGATATGCTTCCTTCTATTGCTCTCATGTACGAGAAAGCTGAAAAAGATGTACTTACACGCCCACCTCGAAATCCAAAAAAATCACGGCTTGTAGATTGGAAGTTACTTGTTCAAGCTTACCTTTTTTTAGGTATGATGGAATCATTCTTTTCACATTGTATGTATTTTCGTTACATGCAAAAATATGGTGGATTTCAACCATCAGATTTATTATTAGCTTATAATAAATGGACAGATGGATATAAAGGATATACAGGAGATCAATTAAATGAATTTATATATACTGGACAATCAGTTTTATTTGTTAGTTTAGTTGTCATGCAAGCTTTTGGAAATCTTTTTGCAACTCGAACAAGATATTTATCATTATTCCAACATTTACCAATTAAAAAACGATCAAGTAATTATTATCTTTTTTGTGCACAAATTGGATCTATCCTTCTTGCTTGTATTATAATATATACACCCGCAATTAATGAAGCTTTAAATACCCGACCTATTCCTGTGGAATTTTGGTTTATTCCTCTTGGTTTTGCTATGGTCATTGTGGTTGTTGATGAAATTAGGAAATTTTTCGTTCGTCATCATTCCCCTTCTTTCTTTTACAAAATTGCTTGGTAGTTTCTTATCAAAAAGATTTCCGTAATCAACATAATTTATTATATTGTATAATAGTGAAAATGGCTAATTTTTACAAAAACAAAAATTTCGAGAGTGGCATTTCATAATTAATCAATTTCACTTTTTCTTCTTTACAACAAATACCTTGTTTTTTTTTTGATTCTTAGAATACAACGAATTCGTTAATTATGAAAAACCCCCATTAAATTATTTTGAATTATCTGCGAAAAATATGTGATATATTGGGAAAATTGTAATTTTGAACTCCCAATTTATTTAATGTTTGTAGATATTTAAATGCAAATACAGTATAACGAAGCTATTGGGTTGGATTTTTTTAAATCGAGATGGAATTTATATGTATGTATATAATTAAGTTGAGGAAGTTTCATCATCTTGAGGTTATGCTGTATTGCTTGTGTATTTAACTAATATTAATTAAAATTAAAACATCTTAAATTATTGAAATTAATGATATTACATGATTTTCAAGTAAAGTTTGCTACATATTTTTGTTTAGACATTATATGTCAAATGATAAATGTAATAAGACCCTGCGTAATTGTTATTTTCCTACCTGTCCTAGCGTATAAAGTCTGAAGTTAAAGAAATTGGTTGATAAAATCTATAAATAATTGTTATACATTTTTATTTTCTACAAAATGAAAAAAAATTATCAATAAAAGATGTAGCATTGATACCTAAAAGATGAGCTACATTTGATCCCTTTGAAAAGTCTACTACAACGCTACAACGAATTAAATGCCAGTAGCAATTTGTAAACAAACTTTATTGATAATATCGTTTCATAAACTTATGTATGGTATATCAGAAATTTCAAGCCGATTACTGATAATACTAATCATGCGACTTTTATATACTGCATTCGGATGAATAGGAATATCCGGTTTCCATTTCATAGTATTATATGTTATAGTTGCATGATGCGAATTAATCAATTCTCGTGATAAACTTAAATTTTCCCATCCATCGACCTTATCTCTATTTTTTTTAGATTTATATTCATCAAGTGTCAATTCCTCTAAATAACCAGACGTTGATAATATTTTAAATTTTTTTCGAGTAGTCCAATAATGCCTTTCATCAGGAGTAATATCCAGAATTCTACTATAACTATACCTAAAACATATACATAACGAATTAATAGAATTTAATACTTCTTTTATAGTCGGTCGTTCTGAAGGATTTTGATCCCAACATCTTCTTAGCAAATCATTATAAGTTGGAGGTGCAAAATGACATATTGATGGTCGAAGACCACTACAAATATCTTCTATTAAGTTTACACAATGCGCCCTGTCTGAAAATGCTGGAATCCCACAAACCAGTTCCCATAAAATAATACCTAAGCTATAAATGTCTCCTGTCTGAGAATATGGAGATTGAAGACGAAGTATCTCTGGTGCAATATTTGGTATTACCCCATAAATTTTTTTTTCAAGCATCTTCGTTTCATTTATTGGTCGACATAATCCAAAATCTGAAATAAAGGCATCTTCTTCATTTAATAATAAAATATTTTCACAATGAAGATCACCATGTACCCAACCTTTAGCATGAATATTTTGAAGTTCTACACATATAGACTGTGCTATGCTTAATTTATTTTCCAGGGTTAGTTTGTCAAAATTTTTCAGCAAGAATCTCCGAAGATCCCCTTGTGGTGCGTAGCGCATTACGAACATGTATTGTGATGTTGAGGGATCTTTGGTAACTCCATATAAATGACAACAATTATATTGAGCTCGAACCTGCATTCAAAATAAAATTCATTTAATATTGCTATAAACACTTCTAAGTAATTAAATATTTACAATCCATACCTCTTTAAGAAAAAGATGAATGGAGTCTTTTTCGCTTTTTAATTGCTTTAGTGCAACAGTACAGGGATCAGATCGAGCATAATATTTGTTTTCGTCTATTATGGAAAAACATTTTATTCCCTTATCCCACTTTGCAGAATATATATCTCCGAACCCGCCTCTGCCAATATGTTTTATTTCAGTTAATGAGTCATATGAAATCCATTCAGGAAATTGAATATAAGATGATGAAAGTTGTGCTTTTTGAATAAATTCATCGATTTCAGAATTATCACTAGTCCAGTTAGAAAATTCACTTTGTAATACTCTATGAAGACAACTGTCGCGTAAACATCTGGGTTCTACTAACATATATTCTAATGTTGAAGAATCTTGGGTAATGCCGTATAAACAACAACAATCAGATCGATCTTGAAGCTGCTTTTCTGTAAGTAAAGACTGTTTCATAAATTTCCTTAGAATAACAGCACAGGGATCTGAACGAATGTAATAATGCTCATTGTTAGAATTTTGTATTTTTTTGGCACCTTGGCTCCATTTTGCTGAAATTACTGCGCCAAATTCGCCTCTATCAATATACTTTATTTCGGATAAAAATTTATATGGAATCCATTCAGGGTACTGACTATAAGGTAATGACTGCTGTGCTTTTCTAATAAATTCATCAATTTGTAAATTTCCACTTGACCAATTAGGAAATTCGCTTACTAACACTCTGTGAAGACAACTGTCGCATAGATATGTATGTTCTACAATCATGTATTCTAATGTCAAGGGATTCTGGGTAATTCCATATAAACAACAACAATCAGATCGATCTTGAAGCTGCTTTTCTAAAAGTAAAGAAGATTGGTTAATAAATTTCTTTAGAACAACTGCACAGGGATCCGATCGAATATAATAACGCTCGTTGTCAGATTTGTATATTATTTTAGTTCCTTTGCTCCATTTTGCGGAAATTACTGCACCAAGTTCTCCTCTATTAACATATTTTATTTCGATGAAAGAATCATATGGAATCCATTCAGGATACCGATCATAAGGTAGTGACTGCTGTGCATTTCTGATAAATTTATCAATTGGCAAACTTCCACTTGACCAGTTAGAAAATTTACCTATTAACACTTTACAGTCACATAGATATGTAGCTTCTACAAACATATATTCTAATGTTTTAGGATTCTGGGTAATTCCGTATAAACAACCACAATCAGATCGATCTTGAAACTGCTTTTCTATAAGCAAAATCTGTTTCATAAATTTCTTTAGAACAACAGCACAGGGATCCGATCGAAGATAATAGTGATCATCATTAGAACTTTGTATTCTTTTGGCTCTTCGGCTCCATTTTGCAGAAATTACAGTACCAAATTCGTCTCTAATATGTTTTATTTCGGTAAAAGAATCATATGGAATCCATTCAGGATATAGATTATAAGGTAAAGACCACGGTATTTTTCTAATAAATTCATCAATTAATTCACTTTCTAATGCTTTTTGATGGCAATTATTGCATAGAGAAGTTGGTTCTACAAGCATATATTCTGATGTTGAAGGATCTTGGGTAATTCCATACAAGTCACAACAATAAAACGAATCTCGGTGGCGTATTTCTATCATTGAAATCTGATTCATATCTTTTAATTTCTTCAGAACAACTTCACAGGGATCTGATCGAATGTAATAGAGTCCATTATTAAATATTTGAATTTTTTTGGCTCCTTGGCTCCATTTTGCAGAAATTACAGCACCAGATTCGCCTTTAATATGTTTTATCTCGGTAAAAGAATCATATGGAATCCATTCAGGATACCGTTTATAAGGCAATGACTGCTGTGCTTTTCTAATAAATTCATCAATTAATATATATCCACTTGACCATTTAGAACACTCATTTTTTAACGCTTTACGGAGACAATTATCACATAGAGATATGGGTTCTACAAACATATATTCTGATGTTGAAGGATCTTGGGTAATTCCATATAAGTTACAACAATAATACAAATCTTGGAAGCATAATTCTACAATTGAAAGCTGATTCATATCTTTGAATTTTTTTAAAACAACTGCACAGGGATCTGATCGAATGTAATAGTGCTTATTACCAGAATTTTGTATTTTTTTGGCTCCTTGGCTCCATTCTGCAGAAAGTACTGCACCAAATTTGCCTCTACCAATATATTTTATCTTGGTTAAAAAATTATATGGAATCCATTCAGGGTATCGAGTATAAAAATTATACTGAATCCGTTTAGGGTATTCAGGATAAAAATTATATGGAATCCGTTCAGGGTACCGAATGTAAAACTTATATGGAGTTCGTTCAAGGTATTGGGTACAATATAATGATCGCTGTGCTTTTCTAATAAATTCGTCAATTTGTAAATTTCCACTTGACCAGTTATCAGACTCTCCCTCTAATACTTCATAAAGACAATCATTGCACATTATCAGGTATTCTGCCTCGCATTTTATATTATTTTTGCATTGTTCACAATTTTCGATTATTTTTAATGTTTTTTCACATTGACATACTGAGTTGGGACATATTTTGGTTCGTTTTTCTAAAAGATTAAAAATATGCTCTATTTTCAACCACATAGCAGCTTTCTTTAAGTCTTTTGTAGTTTCAATTCCATTTTGATGGCATTCAAGATTATATATCCAACCAGAATTACTCATATCAGCAGATTTTTGATAATAAATGAATGCCTTAAGTTCATCCTTTTCAACTCCAATTCCTTTTTCGTAACAAAATCCAAGACTGTTCATTCCACTAAAATTACCCATGTCAGCAGATTCTTTATAATACCCTAAAGCACCACGTTCATCCTTTTCAACTCCAATTCCATTACTATAACAATATCCAATATTAAATGCTCCATATGCATTACCCATGTTAGCAGATTTTAGATAATAGATGATTGCCATAATTTCACCCTTTTCAACTCCAATTCCATGATGATAACAATATCCAAGATTATTCATTCCACTAGAATTATTCCGGTCAACAGATTCATGAAAATAAGTAAATGCCATATGTTCATCCTTTTCAATTCCGATTCCATATTGATAACAGGCACCGAGAGAATTAATTCCATAAGAATCTCTCATATTTGCTGATTTTTGATAGTAGACAAATGCTTTTTGATAGTCTTTTTCAACCCCGATTCCATGTTCGTAACAAAATCCAAGATAATTTATTCCAATAGAATTCCCCATCTCTGCTGATTTTTGATAATGAATAAATGCTTTATGATTATCTTTTTTAACCCATTTTCCATATTGATAGCAATATGCAAGAATATTTTGAATTACAGGATTGGTTTCGACAATAAGATTTGTTTGGTTATTTAAACATAAGTTAATTATTTCTTCGGGTTTTTGCTGCTTGTTTTTAAAATTCTGATTTATGGAGTAAAGAATTGTGATTATTGGATTTCCTTTTGTAACTTCGTTATTATACAGATCACATAATTCTTTGATAGCACTATTTAGAAAATCTTGCGAATTATGCAATGATAAATCTTCTTTATTATACAGATCACATAATTCTTTGATAGCACTATTTAGAAAATCTTGCGAATTATGCAACGATAAATCTTGTTTTAAAAAACGACTATTATCATCTGCAAATGAATTATTGCAAATGCTTTTTTCATTTGACATTGTATATGATTAAAATTGTATATTATATCGCGTTCTGGTAGAGAATACGATATACCGATATGTATGGTTGGCAGTGAATTAAACCGTATTTTGTTCTTATTATCAGTCAGAGGACATATCCTTTTTCAGGGGTTCCAAATGCTGTTACTTATAAATCAAATGAGTTGACTCACCCAA